CACGGAGTTTTCGTCCGTGGCATCCCAACAATTACTCCATTCACACACAGAAGAAGGCAATGGCAAACCACTTCTGGATCATCTGCCAAGAACGTATATGAACAGGTCCCAGTCCGAGAAGAGAAAAGGATGGAAGGATCCTGTTCATATGGACCTGTCCTCAGACAGAACACTAAATAAATAAAAAATGTTAAATGCAACAATCGGTGACGATGCGAAGCGTTGATGTTACGCCTGCAAACATTCAAAAACGCCTGCGTTCCAACGCAAATGTAACAGAAGTTTCGTTTGTGGCCAAAACGAAAATTAAATGTCGAGTTGCCCCTTTGCTTAACGCCAAGACTTGTGGGGTAGTTGAGGAAAGGCTCCACCTTGTTGCACCGCCGCACAAATAGATAGTACAGTTGTGACAAAGAAAATATTTTGCAGGAGACCTGCCCTGTTATTTCTACCCCAGCTCGGCCGCTTGTCTGGGTGTTTTTCAGTGATCTGCATCCGCTTGGGAGCCCAGATAATGCGTATCAGCACACGCACACATGCTTCCGGTTCGCTACGTGAAACTCCGACAGGCTTCGTCTTGTACGAAGCACGGGATTACGTAGGCGTATCTCTTTTTTTTCTTCTCGGATTTGGATTAAATAAGCCCTACAATGCGTCCCAAATATTCTGTCAGTCTTTAATAGTTCATCTTTCCTTCGCTGATAAGCCGACCGACTATTTAACTCCAGTGAACAAAGTCCTTTACGAGAAGCTAACAATAATCATTCATCCAATGAAGAGATTAACTGCCTTTTATGGAACACGAACGTTCATTGCCGTGTTCAAACACTGGGTCATATCTGAAGAGACGATTTCAATCCATGGCCTCGCGACGTATTTGTTTCAAGACCCATTTTAATATTATCCCCACATCCAGGCATTGACCTTTCAAAGTCGTCTCTCATCCTCTCCACGCCTTCTTTACCTTGGGCGCTAGATGGAAATGAGAGGTCAGATTGACGCTATGGCCGATTTACTCGCGAAGAAAGGGATCATCAAGTCTTGATGATGGAGAAGGAAGATCTTGAAAAATTTGGACTTTGCTCCAATTTGACGCGAATAATCTCCACAGAAGATTTGGTCATGAACATAAATGTTACTTGGGGAAGCTGCAAAGATGGAACTGGTTCGTAATCCTGAGCCATCTAATTCTGTTATCAGAGAGCCAGGTCAGTGGTTATGATTCCTGCTTTATTTATAGCGAAAAATTCGGTTTTGAACTTGGCATGGAAATTACTTTCAACGGGTTAACTATGCTTTATCGGGTACTTAGTTTAAACCTTCAGTCAAATGGATATAACAGGCTTACACCTTATTCTACTACATTTCTACCAAATCACTATAATAACATTTTACGCGAAGTGTACAGAAACAGGAGCGATATTTTAGGTTCTCAAGGCTACTAATATTGAGATGAATATCTTCTGGGATGCTGCGCCAACATTTCGGAGGTTCTTAGCGAGATCATCGCCCTGATAATAGAGGTAGAGAGCATCTCTGAAACGTCGGCTAATTTCTGTCTAACTAAGCGGCGTAGCGTTCCAGAAGATATCTC